TCAAGTCCATCAATTCATTTATATTCTTCTCTAAGCTATTTTTTCTCATTAGCATTTCATCAAACCTTTTTTCAAGGTTCTTAGTTTCTTTGCATTGAGTTAGAACATGTTCTTTTAGCTCAGAGAAGTTGTTATTACCCACTTTCTGAAGCATGTTTCTGTCAATTCATCAAACTCATTCTCCATTCAGCCTTATTCCCTTGCTCGTGAGGAGTTGTGATCCCTTAGAGGAGGAGAGGCATTCTGGTTTTGGGTGTTTTCATCCTTTTTGCACTGATTTCTTCCCATCTTTGTTGATTTATCTACCTGTGGTCTTTATAGTTGGTGACTTTTGGACGGGGTCTCTGAGTGGACGTCCTTTTTGTTGATGATGAAGTTATTTCTTTTAGTTTTCCTTCTAACAGCCAGGCCCCTCTGCTGTAGGACTGCTGGAGGTCCACTCCAGACTCTGCTTGCCTGGAGATCACCTGTGTCAGCTGCAGAATAGTAAGGTTTGCTGCTGGTTTCTTCTTCTGTTATCTTCATCCCAGAAGATTACCCACCATATGTCAGCCTGAGCTCTCCTTTATGAGGTGTCTCTTTGGATACGCAGGGGTCTGGGAGTTGCTTGAGCAGACAGCCTGTCTCTTATAGGAGCTCAAGTGCTGAGTTGTGAGCTCTGTTGTTCCATTCAGAGCTGCTTGGCAGGTATGTTTAAGTCTGCTGCAGTGGAACGCATAACTGCCTTTTTTCCCAGGTGCTCTGTCCTAGGAAGGTGGGGCTTTATTTATAAGTTCCTGAGGAGCTGCTGCCTTTTTTCAAAGATGCCCTGCCCAGCAAGGAGGTAGTGTGGTCACAGTCTGCCAGCAGAGGTGTTACTGAGCTGCTGTGGGCTCTGCCCAGCTGCTGTGTGAACGACCTTGTGGTTTTGTTTACACAGGTACAATTAGAACTGCCTCAGTAATGGCAGACTGCCTCAGTAAAGGCAAATTGCCTCGGTAATCACGGACTGCCTTGGTAATGGTGGACTGCCTCAGTAATGGTGGACTGCCTCGGTAGTGGTGGACTGCCTTGGTGGTAATGGCTGATGCCCTTTCCCCCACTGAGCTGGACCATCCCAGGTCTAGCTGTGCTTGCTGTGAAACTCTCAATCCAGAATGTTTCAGATTGCTGGTTTTTGTGAGGGTGGGACCCACCTAGCCAGATCACCTGGCTCCCTGTTTCAGCCCCCTTTTATTCAGTTGAGTGGGTGGCTCTGTATCCCAGGCATTCCAGGCACCAGTTGAAACGGCCACCCAGATTTGTGTTGAGTTTTTGTGCGGAGATCCGTGGTGCCAGCTGAAACAGCCATTCTGGAAACTCATGGCACTTTTCAGCCTGGGAATCTCCTGGTCTGTGGGCAGTAAAAACTCATTTGGAAATGCGGTGATCACTTACCCTCTACATTGTTCTGGCTGAGAAGTCCACTCCAGAGCCGCTCCTATTCATTCTGAATAGGAACAGCTTGGATCCCAACCGCAGAATTCTCTTAAATGACTATCCTAAATCTGATGCCTGTGGAATGCTGTCCAGAAAACAGCTGGCTTCATATGAAGAGAGGCTGAGTGTTTTTTGTCTTGTTCATTTAAAAGCATTTACTTCTTATTTAATATCTGCAAAGAACACAGTCACATCATAGTAGAATTTGCTGTTGTAAATTTTGGACTGTTTCCATGGGTTCTGCTTTACATCTGCATGGTGTTTGAAGCCAATGCTTCCTTTATTTTTGTAGGCATTTAGGGCCTTGTGCCTCATAATCCAATGTCATGCTCAATGACAGAGAATTAAGGTAGAATTTCTTTAACTATAGAGAAGGACTCAGCAGAACAATACACTTATTTAACAACTCCTTACCTCAGAAACTGAAGGTGCTGTTTTGTGCAGGTACCCTCTGCTGCTTATCCTGTGTTTATTTATTAAGTACAAGAACTGGGTACTCTGTTTCTGAAAACAAAAAGACCAGACTAGTCTATCAGAACCTATAGTGAACTAGTAAGATGTTTATATTTCATTCAGAACAGCAAAGCTTTGAATTAGCTGCCATTTTTACTGTCTACTATTCTCCTAATTCTCAGGTAATTGAGAATTAACTGCATAAAGTTTACATATTAAGTACCAGTTCTTTGAAGTTAATTTTAAGATAATTCTTCCTTTTAATTTATAGTTGCATTCAGAAGTAACAACAACATTTATCATATGGGCTCAGACCTCTGCTTCTTCTAGCTTAGGACCATATCTTGACACAAGCACCAGGGGCCATTTAATAGTAAGGTGTGATTGTTCTCTCTGATGAAATCTTCTTATAGAGTCACAATGACACCATAATTATATTAATATCTTTTATTAACTGTAACATATAGTTAAGCTTTCCAAAACTAAAATCTAAACCAACTTTTGAAGTTAGAAATTCTACCAGTTTACTACATATTTCATTGTTAATAATTCTTTTCATTTGTTTTAAGTATACCTCTTTAAGGATTCTGGGAATATGGTAACAGATTTGTAGCCATACTTACCCGACTTTTAAGGACAAATATCATATTCTCTTGCAGCTTTTATATTTCAAGAGTCAGTGTGAGAGAGATAAGAACTTTGGGATCAGGCAGACCCGAGTTTGAATTATAGGATCTAACTAGCTGAGTGACCTTGGATAAGTTAATTAGTCTGATCCTTTGAGTTTTCTTGGTAGTTGTGACTATGCATGAAATTATATGAAATCAGTAAAAAAATGGGTCATCTACTCTACACCATTACCTAATAAGTTTTTTCAGACCGAGAAAATCTTGTTGCATGGAATACAAATGGAGCCAGTGGACCTTACAATGAACAAGCAGAGTGCACCCCCTTTGGCTGGGAATTCTTCCTCTCTGAAGTTCCCTCCTTGACCTGGAGAGCCTCTCCAGCGTGAGCATGCCTTCTTCTAGCCCATTATGAAAAACACTCACTCCCTTCTCTGGGCATGCAGGTCTATGGCATCCCACTGTCCATGCCACCAGTGATGGCAGCTGCCTTCTCCTGGCACAGAAGACAGAGCCTGGGAATCCTGCCTGGTGGTGGTACAGTCTGTCCCCTTTATGTACATGAGTTACCTCCAGCAGCCTCTCATTGTTTCTTTGTTGGTGGAAACAGAAAATTCAAGTAGTAGCATGCAAGTACCTGTAAGTAAATCACATAAGAAGCCTATATCAGAGAAAAAAAAAATGAACCTGTGATTGAACCATAGAGGACAGATTATTATCCTGAAGAAATGTCACCCTGCCTTAATGAACTCAATGCCTGCCCACAAGCACTGTTGCAAGAGAATCACCTTAGGTCATAGTGCAGCCTGGGAAGAAACCTTTACTGGTGGAATTCGTGAATACTCAAAGGAAGCAGAGGATACACAGATGTGATTGTGACATATGCAACAAAGTATACACTAAAAGCTTTCGTTTGAAATCATACAGAACACATACAGGAGATACACCCTACAAATGTACATGGGATGGATGCACATGGAAATTTGCTCTGTCTGATGAACAAGACATTTCTGAAAACATACTGGAATCAAATCTTTTTAGTGCCTGGACTGTAACCACAGCTTCTGTTCTGACAGTCTTGCCCTCGATAGGAAATGCCACATGCTAGTCTGAATGCCTTCATCTCCCACCTCAATGTGACTTTCCACTCACCTAGCTCTTTCTCTATCCTCCCACCATTATCTAAGACATTTTTTACATGTACATTTTAATTTTGATTCAGCTGCTCTGATCCTCTGAATTTACATAATCCAAAACTTCCATATGGTCAGTAGCAGATATTCTCTAATCCTCCCTCTCCTTACCATGGATGACCTAAAAAATGAGAACTTTTTATTTCAGAGATGTTAAGCAAAGCATTCTTAGAGATACATATATTTAATGTAATAAGAGCAAGGAAACATGTAAACTAAAAAAAAAAAAAGTATGTAAAAGTACTGGATAAACAAAGATTTATACAAATGTCTGGTAAATTCTAATTAAAACATTAGAGTGAATTTATTTTCTAATTTAAGTAACTCGCTCTTTGTAAAATAAAGATTGCAGATTTATATAGATGTATAATGATTTTAAAGTTTACTATTAAAATGTGTCACTGAAACACCTGAACAGATGGAACATAGAAATTTTACAACTCCAGTGTTTTGAATTATTATTTTTTCTATAGAAACAAACCAGTCTATCAGTTTGTTTTCCATCATAACTTATTCTCAAAAAGCATACCAACAAGGGCCGTCACTGGGGCTGGGGGGCTGGGGTTCAGATCACAGTTTCCATACACAGGACAATGGAAGGACTTAGATTAGTCAAACCATTTGTTCTTTCTGCTATAGTTGCAGTTCTCCATTCACATATTTGTTAGACAGGACTGCTTGAATAATCATCCTCACATACTTCTTACGTTCCCCAGCTAAAGACTCTGGAAGCCAGTTTTCTGCTTGTATTCTCATGGTTTTGACAGTCATTAAAATGCCTTTTCGATGCTACCCAGAGTTACAAGTTCTTTACTGTGAGCCTGGCACATGATTTGTCTGTTTTAGTTCTAGCAGAAAGACTCAACTGTGCTTCTCAGTTCCAGACCACAAAAGTGAGCTCAGGCAATCAAGTGTTTTAGAAGCAAGACACATGATCAGAAATTCATATGTTTGTCAGCTACATACATTTCCTTTGAAAACATTAGTAAAATTTAGCCTACTAGGTGTTTGAAAATCAGCATGGTGGTGAGGGCAGAAAGAGGCCAACAATTTGGGCCTGTCAGAATCTATTGAGCTTGTGGGGTGTTAGGATAGGGAGGGCTGAGTAGTCAATGACAGGTTGCATATGAACATAGGGGCAAAGTGGAATAAGAAACTGCATTATCCTTCTGGAGCTGACTAGTAACATTAAAAGAATATGGTTTACTCTGTGAAAATATCTGCACACTTAAAATGTACTAATTAAATGAAATAAATTGTGTCATTTCAGATTTACAATGTCTAGTAGAGGCACTTGGGTTAAAACTTCAGAAGGCGGTGACAGAGATGGACAACTATAAAGAAATGCTTATGTAAGATGGAGAACATTAAACAACTTGTAAGATAACAGTGCTCTGTAGATGTGCCACAAAATGGCAAGAATTAGAAAGAAATGACAAGAATTATAAAAACCCTGATATGTTCTCTGTGATTCTTTTGGCAGAGATTTACTTGTGTGGGTAATAGTTTACTGCTGCTTTTCTTGACCACTTTGCTGCCCTAGATTATATGTTGAAGAACCTGTAAATATATTCACATACGTGGAGGATTTCTTTATCTCAAAAAGAAACTTATCTATCCATATATTAAACCTTTCCCTGATAGTTCAAATGCAGTAACTTAATGTGAAATACTCTTTGAACTTTTTTCTTATCTTTATTCCTTTATTATCTCTCCACAAGAAACAATATTGAAGCTGTATCTCAAAATTACTAATTTTAGCTTCAAGGAGAGAATTGAGTATCTTTGAAATGCTGAAGTACTTATGCTTGATGCAAGTGAGAAAACAATGTTGGAAAACACATGATAAGAAAATGATATAAAATCAAGAGCACTATTTCTTTTAAAAATTAATTTTAAGCCTGGGCAATGTGGCAAAACTTTGTCTTCCAAAAAAATACAAAAATTTTCAAAGCATGTTGGCACACACCTTTAGTCCAAGCCACTTGGGAGGCTGAGGTGGGAAGATCACCTAAGCCTAGGAAGTTGATGCTGCAGTGAACCATGATCATGCCACTGAGCTCCAGCCTGGGTGACAGAGTGAGACCCTCTCAAAATGAATAAATAAGTAAAAATTACTTTCATTTCAGAAATTTCAAAAATCATAGTATAAACATAGAATATCTATAATACTAAAATAGAATGTATACAATCTTTGAAAAGTAAGCAGATTCTTTTACCTTATGATATATGTGATTTTCAGTTCCTATATTTTAGAAGGATGAACTGCATAAAAATATAAATATTTAGAATGCTTAGCAACCAAATGTTTGTGTTGACCATGAACTACTCCTAAAAACAATGTGTTTAATAAAGTATTGAACACAAGAAGGAACAAATTCCAAAAATGACCTATCAAATTAATGTATACTTGGATTATTTGTAGCAAAAGTTTGTTTCTGAAAAATAAGAAAAATCAAATATTCATACTTTATAACACTATGGTTAATAGTACAGTAAATATAGTAGCTCAGCTGTCTGTGTAGATGGCTGGAGTTGCAGGAATTGGTGGAAAGGGGGTCCTTAGAAGACCCCCTAGGCCCAGGAAGTAACTTTTTGGGATATTTTTTTAAATCCTGAAAAAGAAACAAGGTGATGGTTGCTAGAAAAAGAAAAAAAATCGTTGTTTCTCTCCCTCTAATATAATCAAGGAGGGGTTTGGCCACGTGGATGTCTCATGTGGAGAGCAGTCTAGTCAGGCCCCAGCTACTGTGTGATGATTGCTTCTTGGAGCTCAACAAGTGAAGAGGGCACAGTCTAGGCATAGGGAGGTGGTGCTAGCACACAACTAAGCTAAGAGGGAATTTGTGGGCATACCAAGAGTTAGCATATAAAGTGGAGTCTTGGAAAGTTAGGAAAGAAGCTTAGAAATGAGCATAGTGAAGAAAAGGAATAAACTTACTGGTAGTGACATGAATTGATATTTTACAGAATAAGTTTGCACAGAATTCTTTGTATATTCATGTTCCACATAATGACATTTTGGTTAGTGACAGACCATGTATACAATGATGGTTCCATAAGATTATAATACCATATTTTTACTGTACCTTTTCTGTGGTCAGATATGTTTAGATATGCAAATACCATTGTGTTACAATTACCTACACTATTCAATACAGTAGCATTCTATACAGGTTTGTAGCCTAGGAGCAATAGGCTGTGTCATATAGCCTACATGTGTAGTAGGTTATACAGTCTTGGTTTGTGTACACTCAGGGATGTTCACACAATGACAAAATTGCATAATGACACATTTCTTGGAATGTATCCCTGTTGTAAAGCAATGAAGGACTGTGCATGGAGCCTGCCCATTTAATATTAACACGTGCTTTGTGGTATTTTTTGTTTATTTTTAACATAAGTTGTTCTGAGAAGTTGGGAGTCTGGGTAGATTGGAGATAGAGGGAGAAATACACCACTAAAGTCCATCAAACTAATTATCTGTAGGAATTTACTGTACTATTGCAGAAATGCTGAAGACATTTTATCAGTTTATAAAGCTGATGTTTCCTACCCATGCAAGACCTTCTTAAAAATTAAAAAATGGACATAATGCCCATATTTAGAAATGTGAATTAGGAAAGATAGAGCCACTTAAATGGCTCCAAGTGCTAGAGACCTTTCTGTATGCTACTGTCTCTAGCTCTTCTATCTATACTCTATCTTGTCTCCTTTACCGCTAGGATTAAGTTGGGGAGGGTGAGCATTTAGGTTCAAAGCCTGGGACTGCTGAAGCCTCAGGTTGCTCAGAGGTCAGGAGGTTCCTGGTAGTATATAAGTACTGTTTTAATTATAGGCCAGAGTCAAATTTGTGGCTTGGCCATTTTTGTAATGGTAAGCTCGAAGTCAAAACAATTCACTCAAAAAATTTGACATATTAATACAATTTGTAAGTAAAATTCAAGATTTCCTGCCCATACTCAAACCTCTTAGGACTTAGAAATTAGAATATGCTATAAAATCAAGTTTCTTTGATTTTTAATCCTCATTCTTTGTAGGGCTGGGAATAGGAATGTTTGTCACCTATAATTTAAGATAATTCTTTTTGTTGTTTAAAGATTTTAAAATATTTGGATATAAGTTTTGTGAATTTTGACAATAAGAGAAGAAGCAGTTTATAAATTTGTGAAATTAGAGTTCTTTTTTCGAAGATTTTTTCCCCGAGATTTTTAAGAAAATATTTTCTAAAAAGAACATTGTTATGTATTTAAAAATAGAGATTTTATCAAGATGCTTTGGGCTACAAGTAACAGCAGTAGGATAGTGTCAGTTGTAATTGATCAGAGTCTCAGCAATATCCCCAAGGATCTTAATGTTCTTTTTGCCTCCATCCTGCTGCCCTCAGTACTGGCTTCAACCCAAAGCTAAGTCAGGTCCTTATTTAATCACAAGATGGCTATAGTTCCTCCACCCTGGAGGCCTCATTTGGATATGGTACCTGCAGGCAGGAATGGACTGGTTTTCTAATGTCTTTTTAGAAGTGAGAAAAAAAATTATCAGATGCCACCAACAGCCTTCTCCTTATATTTCCTTGGCTGGAACCCTTTACATATCCTCTCCTAAATGAACCACTGGCAAGGGGAACAGGGCTACCACAATTACCTTAGACCAAGCAGGATTTATCCTTAGAACAAATGATAATTGAGACTTTGATGGCCAGGAAAAAGGCTGTAGTGAGTGTTCAGAAGGTAACCAATAGAGTTTGCTAAAGACGTAGAGCATTAATGATGCTCTGAGAGCTTGATGACATTTTCTACAGATTTTAAGTACTATAATATCTAGGTTAATTAGGGGAACACCTCTCTGAAATAATGAAAAATATGAAGACTATAAAATCTAGTTCTATTGTTTTTAAACTGATATGGATACAAAATATACTTTTACTTTCACATATATATGAAAGTATATATAAAAAAAGAAAGTATATATATGTATATCTCAGGATAAAGATAGATAAATAAGGCTTAAAAGAAAGACTGTCATTTATGGTGAAAATTTTTTAAGAATTCCAAAAGGAGAATACATAGAAGAAGAGTAGAAAGGGTCAACTCTACTGAGGAACAACCCAGATGAAGAGCAATTGACTGGTGATGCTGGTGGGCATGGGATAGGCAGGACCTTTCTTCAAATTAATTAAAACACAGAGAAGGGAGTGACACTTGGTGAATCATTGAAATAGTGGTTTTCACACTCCCATCTACATAAGAATCATGGGGAGCTTGTTAAAATTGTGTATTACAGTATGCCCTCTCCCACAGACTCAGCCCCAGGACCAGATTTCTGGGCTCCTTTTCCACAGATAATCTAGTTTTACATTTAGATCTGGGGTGGCTCCAAGCAATCACATTTTTAATGCACTCCCCACATGATACTGATGGAGGTGGTCCAGTGAAACCCACTCTGAGGAATCACATATGGAACATTTAATCCAACTGGCACCTCACCAATACCCTCCAATCAATCAGCCCTGTGTGAAGCAGCATTTGCAGAAGCATCTATACTCAGACTAACACAATGAGTATGTGGACTAGAGTTAGACAGCCTGAAAGCTACTGAACCCCAGGAAAGCCCAGGATCCCCATAGCCCAAGGCAAACCTCCGGTGCCCCCACCGGGTAGCATACCCTGCCCCTTCATCACACCTCTAAAAACAACCTAGAGCAAAAATAAATAGCAAAGCAGACAAGCAAACAGAGGATCTTAAGTCTAAGGATTCACACACAACCAAAGATGAGTAGGTATGTAAGGAAACACCTTCTACCAATTCCCCCCGAAAAGTGGCTATGAATTAACACAGAAAATCCTTAACGCCCTAGAAAATTGTTGAATAGCAAACAGATGACATTAGAATAAGTATAATTGATATCCCCCAAAGCATGTCCAGGATTGTAACCATAAAAGAACAGACTGTTATGGGAAGCTATTAGGAATTCAGGAGATTTAAAATATCATAAAAATGATCCCATTCATGCTAAAAATGAATGCAAATGCACATACACATTCATATGGATTTAAATACATTGAATAAATGATAGGATTTCTAGAAGTGAAAGTGTGGGCTTTTTGGAAATTTTATTTCGCTCTATTATATATTGCTTAAATGCTTTACACTGTGGTTATATTTATTTTCATGTATGTGGTAAGAACAAAGTTTACTTAAAGTGATTTATGATCTGTCACTAAGAATATGTCTAAGTGGTTATGTAAAACATGTTTTATATGTTTTCTGGCTGGGCATGGTGGCTCACGCCTGTAATCCCAGCACTTTGGGAGGCCGAGGAAGGTGGATCACTAGAGGTCAGGAGTTCGAG